TTTAGATGTCTTGTGTTCAAACATTTTTAGATGTCTTGTGTTCAAACATTTTTAGATGTCTTGTGTTCAAACATTTTTAGATGTCTTGTGTTCAAACATTTTTAGATGTCTTGTGTTCAAACATTTTTAGATGTCTTGTGTTCAAACATTTTTAGATGTCTTGTGTTCAAACATTTTTAGATGTCTTGTGTTCAAACATTTTTAGATGTCTTGTGTTCAAACATTTTTAGATGTCTTGTGTTCAAACATTTTTAGATGTCTTGTGTTCAAACATTTTTAGATGTCTTGTGTTCAAACATTTTTAGATGTCTTGTGTTCAAACATTTTTAGATGTCTTGTGTTCAAACATTTTTAGATGTCTTGTGTTCAAACATTTTTAGATGTCTTGTGTTCAAACATTTTTAGATGTCTTGTGTTCAAACATTTTTAGATGTCTTGTGTTCAAACATTTTTAGATGTCTTGTGTTCAAACATTTTTAGATGTCTTGTGTTCAAACATTTTTAGATGTCTTGTGTTCAAACATTTTTAGATGTCTTGTGTTCAAACATTTTTAGATGTCTTGTGTTCAAACATTTTTAGATGTCTTGTGTTCAAACATTTTTAGATGTCTTGTGTTCAAACATTTTTAGATGTCTTGTGTTCAAACATTTTTAGATGTCTTGTGTTCAAACATTTTTAGATGTCTTGTGTTCAAACATTTTTAGATGTCTCGGTTTTTTAAATACTTTAGACATCTTGTGTTTAAACACTTGAGATGTCTTGTGTTTTAACCCTTTAGATGTATGATGTTTTAATTGTGTAGTTAAAAAGATACTGGTCTATGGAAGAATATTCATGTATGAGCTGAAAATGTAACAAAAAAATAAAAATAAATAAATAAAATAAGGTTTTCACACAAATATCTTCCATTGATTGTATCGTTAAAAGAATCTTATCTTAAATTATGGGGGAAGCGACTTTGCATGTTCGCGCTTGGGAAGAAGTTTAGGAGAGCCCATGGGCGTGTCCATGCAGAGGTTGTTTTGGGGGGCTGATTTTAAAAATCACTGATTTCTCTATCAGGGCTACGGTACAAAAAACATCGTTTTGTCACCGATTTTAATGTTATGTTATCAATCTTGGCAAAATGACTTGTAAGGTTCATATTTTTGTTCAAAGATTTGATATCAGCTGAGCCTTTCCAAGCTCAACAGTGGCACAGTTTGACAACAACCAAGCATTGGTCATTGTGGGGAGTATTTTTTTTTTTTTTTTTAATTTATTTTTTTTTTTTTGGTGTCAATAATATACGATCGCTCCATCGCCGTGTCCACGTCTGTTGTAAACTGGTTAGTATACGAAACGTGGCGCCATCTGGAAGCATTGTGTACGTCATAACGTTACAGCGCTCTGGGGGGAGTAACTCTCAGAGATAATGCGAAGAGCAGCGCGCCACCCTCCGTGTTTGTGTAAACCCAGAGGGATAGGGGAGTCACTCCCCCGGGTGTTGGAATATAAGGGGTTAGGGGGGCTGGCTTACGTAAACATACTTTAACATACACACGGGGGACGGGGGAAGGGGGAGAAGAACGAATCGAAATATTACAGTGTAACAAGTGTTAATTTATCAAGTGAAATTAGTGCAACAAGTGGTACTGTCTGGTGTTACAGTAGTGTAACAAGTCTAAGTGTTAATATATCAAGTAATATTAGTGTAACAAGTGTCATTACTTAATGTAACAGTAGTGTAAGATGCGTCCTCAACTAAAGCAAGGGTTCTTAACAAGGGGTGCTTCCCCCCCCCACCCCCCCACCCGGAGGTGTGGAAGGGAGTGCCAGGAGGTCCTGGGGACACCCAGAAAACCAGGTCCATCTCCATCATTCACAGTGAGGGCTGCGGGAACTGCGACTTGAAATGGAAAGGCGGCTGCGGCACTGCAAAGGGTTAAGAACCCCTGCACTGAAGCTGTACGTCAACGAGAAGAAATACAATAACGGACCAACATTAGGAACCCTACTGAGCCAACACTTGAATCCAACATTCTCATGATGTGGACATTGTTGGATGATGTGATGATGAAATAGTGGACATTGTTGAATGATGTCATGATGAAATAATGGACATTGTTGAATTATGTCATGATGAAATAATGGACATTGTTGAATGATATGATGATGAAATAGTGGACATTGTTGAATTATGTCATGATGAAATAATGGACATTGTTGAATGATGTGATGATGAAGTAATGGACATTGTTGAATGATGTGATGATGAAGTAATGGACATTGTTGAATGATGTTATGATGAAATAATGGACATTGTTGAATGATGTTACGATAAAATAATGGACATTGTTGAATTATGTCATTTTCTCTCACCGAAAATAGTTTAAATGTTTTAAAAGATCACAGTCCGAGAACCACTGGAGAACTCAGACGACACCAGCCCAGCTTCCGGTGGTGACTTGTAATTAACACTTGCCTAAGCTTCTTCCACTCCTCCCGCTATTGATTTCAAACTTCACGAGACCTCTCTCCAAGCCCCCCGCCCCCACGCCCGGGGGGGGCGGGGGGGGGGGGGGGGGGGCCAATCCCCCAATTTGAGCCAATTATCTTGCCATACTCCCTAC